TTTCTTATGACTCTCCATCTCAGGGGGGCTCTATGCTTTGTCTTCTGCCCACTGTGTTCCACAGGACCATCAAAACCAAAGTTGAAATTCATCCTCAGGGGAGAAGAGGCTTCAGCAATCTTCTTATTAACACATGTTACTCCCCTCCTCCACCTCTCCAGAGCTTCCCTAGTGCCCCCATTTCCTAATCCCTCTCCCTTCAACTTCCCCAGTCCCTCCCCCATCCTACAGACTCCTGCAAATTCTAGCAACTAAGGGGCCTCCAGCTATCATCCATTCTGATTGGTCAGTGCCATCTACATACCACTTTTAAAATATTTTGAGTATCATCCCTGTACATGAGGAACTCCTTTGCAATCCCACTGCACAATACATACCTGCTCAAGGCAGAGGCTAAATCATCCCTTGTGACTAAACCCTCTGGGGCTCACAAAATTGGGGATTATGTTTGAAACTGGCAATTTTTACATGTAATGGGTGAAAATAAAGCGTAAACTTCAACTAGAAAAAAAAAAAAAAAAAGCTTCAGCAGTTTCACTCAGCAATATTGGCCGTGTAATTACTCAGTCTCTTAGGATATTGCCAGCTCTTAGATGGTTCCCAAAAATGCTTTTCTGTTCTATCTAAATAGAAGTTTTAGTTTTCAGTAAGAGAATTACTCAGCTTAGCTTTGTCTTCCACATTTCTGAAGAGAAAATTTAACAATTTGTGAAAACGCTATGTATTTCCTAACATCCTTTCTCACTTATCAATGTCAGAAAATCTCCCATGTCATTACAAATTCTTAGATTATTTAATTAAATGTTACCACAACTCATTTAACCTGTCTGATGTCTAAGGCATTTTTGCTGTTCTCAAGTTTTCACTCTTAAATGCTATTATTATTATTATTAATTATTATTATTTTGGTAGCTGGCCAGCATAGGATCAAATCCTGGATGTTGGTGTTATCAGCACCACACTCTAATCAACTGAGCTAACTGGCCAGCCCCTCTTAAATACCATTTTTAATAATGCATTTATATGAAAAACTTTGTCTACATTTCTGAGTATTTTTTTCTTAGGATAGAACCTTAGAAATAGAATTAGTGGGGGCCGGCCCGGTGGCGCACTGCTACAGTGCGCCGCTTGGAAGCGCGGCGGCACTCCCGCCGAGGGTTCGGATCCCACATACAGACTGGTTCCCGCTCACTGGCTGAGCGAGGTGCGGGCGCAGCACCGAGGTTTGCGATCCCGTTGCCAGTCCCGGTCCGGTACGGGCGCGACACTGAGGGTTGCGATCCGTTGCCAGACACGAAAAAAGACAAAAAGGAAAAAAAAAAAAGAAATAGAATTAGTGGGTCCAAAAAGTATGGTCATTTTTAAAGTTCTTAATACATCCAATTTATTTTCCATAAACAGTATCAGATTCCTCTCAACCATCACCACCAACAAAAAGATGCCAGCTGTGCCATCTCTCACTACCAGTAAGTATAATCCAAACACTTCCTCCACTCCAAATGTTATGCAGGGAAATATCAGATTTGCATATCGATAAGGTGATGTTTGCAGCCACATGGAGAATATTAAGGTACAGGATGGACTACAGAAAAAAAATGCTAAGTCTAAAATATCAGAATGATAGGTGGAAAAAGAAAATAATTTTGAGACAGTAAAGCAATAACTTTAACTATATAACACACCACCCCAGTACATACCAATTTAGAGAAACTGTCATTAAGCTTGTGACTGGCAATTTGGACTGGGATCAGGTGGGCAGTTCTTTTGTCATGGCTGGGTTCACCCATGTATCTAAGGTTAGCTAAAAGCTGGCTGGTCTAGGATGGCTTCTGCTGGGGTGGTTTTCCTCTGCTCCACATGATCTGATTCTCTGGTAAGCCAGCCCGAACTTGTGCACATGGTAGATCTGCAGGTTTCCAATAGTGCAGGTGGAAGTGTGCAAGGCTCTGAGGCCTAGACCTTAAGTGTGCATAATGTTACTACCCCATTCCTTTGAGAAAATCAAGTCACAAGGCCAGCCCAGATTTGAAGAATCAGAAAATAGATGAGTGGTGGGAGGAGCTGCAAAGTCACCTCGCAAAGGGCATGGGTACCAGGAGTCGTGGAGAACTATGGCCATTTTGCAACTCCCAGCCCACCCCCCAGTGTTGTCAGAATTGCTAAAAAATGAGGAGGCCTCTAGGGAAATGGTAGAATCTAAGCTGAATTATAGAATTCTGAACTGGTGAACTGTGTGTATGTTAATACCATCATTCACTGAGGAGGGAAGTTTGATTTTAAATATGAATTGAAAATGTCAAATTGAATTTCAAACACAAATCTGGAGTTCTGAAATGAGATTTAGGTTTGTGTTATAGTTTTCAGAGTACAGCTAATATTTGAAGCAATGGATGTATAATGTGAGAGTACTGAGGATAAACACCGCAGAACACTATTATTTAAAAAAAAAAGAAAAATTATAACTTAAAGCAAAATTAGGCAGTATAAAACGAAGAAGCAGTTTAAAGGCAGTAGAGAATAAATAATACTAGCAACCTTCACAGGATATCATAATATCCGTCTTACACTGATTCCACTGACTTTGGCAGGCAAGTACTTACCTTGGCAAGAGCAGCAGATGAGGGAGAAAGAAAATGAGATAATGACATGGAGGGTATTGCTCAGTGGCTGGTTGAAGTGAAGGATCACAGAAAGTAGGGCAGCTGGGATGGAAATAAAAGCAGCGGCAGAAGGACCCTGAACAAACTGAGTATTCAAAAGACTGATAAGTTTCTTGTTAAAGACCACTCCTGATACTCCCTATTTCAGCAGTTCCCAAACTCTGTTTACACAGTCTTAGCATCTCAGCATCTTCACAGCACATGAAAACAACATGAAGGCAAAAACCACACAAATTTAGTTTTGTTTATTAAATAGTCCAAACGACTTGCCATAACAGCTTAACTCCTGTTGGACACTACACAACTTCTCAAACTTTGTAATCACATTGGACACCACCACCTTCATTTTCTGTTAATTTTTGTGATATTTGCCTTTTAATCACAGCAACCATTAAAAGCTCAGCTTCATGAAGATGTCATTGGAAAGAATATAGTGATCTAATAGTAAAACTGTGAAATACCTTGAGCTAGTAATTTGTGTGGCGTCCAACCAATGTGACTGTGATTTTCTCAAAAATTAAAAATATCCTGCAGCACCCCTGTGAGTTCTCTGTGTTGCCCCAGGGCACATCAGTTCACAATTTGGGAACTAGAGCCCTACCCCCACCTCTACCCTCTATTCTCGCTTTATTTTTCTCCACAGTATTTATCACCTTATTTTATTTATGTATTTGGTTTCCCTCCATCAGAATGTGAGTTTCATTGGGGGTGGACTTTTTGTCGTTGATGACTGCTGTATCCCTAGTATCTAGATGCTGGTATATGCAGGTTTTAAACAGGTATTTGTTGAATTAATGACAAGGTACACTGGGAACAAAAAAGTGATTACATTGTTAAGACTTTAACAAAAGCATGAGATGCTGTAATTCATAATTTCAGAACAGTTCTGAATAGAGTAAAAGTTTAAGTGCAGCCATGACATGGTGTTTGAATGAGTAAAAGCGAAAAATGCCAAAGAATCATTAGGCTACTGAATAAGCCAACCACATAGACACTAAGGTCACCTAATGATGGCAAGACTTGAAATAGAGAGGTGTGAGTCAGGTGCCAAAGTACAGGAGGAAGGCGGAAGAATACCCAAAAAGAAAAAGACAAAAAGGAATTCTTAAGTGAGGGAGGCACAGTGATGGACTGAAAGGAACAACAGAACAGGACTCTATGTTATAGTGAATTGTAAAAGGGTTGACGAGTCCCACTTCAAAAGACTACAGAGAAGCAGTGTCTTCACAGGTATTAGGTGTGTATTAGGCAAGATAAAAAAGATAATAAAGAGTCTGAGGCTATAATATTTTTGTTCATGATGAAACAGGGTCCCTGAATGCACAACTAGATTTTAAACTTCTTGACGGCAGGAGTTTTATCTTTTTCATTGTTGTATCCCTGGGGACTGTTATAATATAAAGAGTACATTAATTACTGATTGACTGATTGCCTGATTGCCTGTCTTTCAATGAGAAAAAGATCAACTGACAGATTGACTCAAAGAGGGATGGTACAAAAAAAAAAAAAGAGGGATGGAAGAAAGAGCTAAAGGGCCTAGCAGCCATATACAAAGAGAGTACATGAGACAGTAAACTAGAGAAAAGACATCGGTTTTTAAAGAGCTGACATAAATGCAATTGTATATGAAAAATGATCACTTAGAATCTCAGTGTAAACATCCATAAGTGTCTTAGTTTGTTTGGGCTACTATTACAAACTACCATAGACCATGTGGCTTAGAACCAGAAATTTATTTCTCATAGTTCTGGAGGCTAGGAAGTTCAAGATCAAGGTGCCAGCAGATTCAGTATCTGGTGAGGGCCTCCTTTCTGGCACAGATGGCCATCTTTTCACTGTGTCCTTATGTAGTAGAAGAGGCAAGAGATCTCTCTGGGAACTCTTTTATAAGGCGACTAGTCCCATTCATGAGGGCTGCACCATCCTAACCTAATAACCTCCTAAAGCTTCCACCTCATAATACCATCACATTGGGGATTAGGTTTCAACATACATATTGAGGAGACACAAACATTTGACCATAACAATAACTAAAGAGACAACTCATTTTTGCTTTTGTAATATTTTTTAAAATTTGCAAACATTTTATGATGTGAATGGGTTTATTAAGTGTAAGTAAAATTTATGAAAGTATTTTAAATCTCCTTAACCACTAGGCAATAAATAAGATTCTCAAAGTAACTACAAATTATTTAAGTGGTAATCTGTTATTAACAAACACTGTAGAAATGTATTATACTTCGTATAATCTATAACACAAATGATAGTACAAATACTGAATTTCAAAGCTTCTCTTTAACCTTTCATTGAGAATGGACAATGACTCAGAAAGAGGACACATTAGAATAATAATCATGTATGTATTATTGAAGTAGAAATGATAAAAACTTTCAGAAAGACAATGTATTTAAATAACCTCGTTGAAACTCTACATCTATCATTATCACTACATACTTATCTGATGAGGTTAAAGAAAAGCCACAGGCCAAAGCACAAACAAGAATAGCATTTAAACTGAATTTACATGTAAAAAATTTTTCAACCAAATTCCAGAAGTTTGTCCATTTCAGAGCCATTCGTTAGTCCAAAAATCAAATTCCATCCAGCAAGTACTGTTATTCCAATAATGTAGTTTTCCAACTGTCTAGTAGTGATCCTGAGCCACACATTGCATCCAAAAATAAGAGTATTTCATTAACACCAGGCATTCTCATTACTTCAAAGCTGAATAAATTTTATAAACCAATGATACTTAAAATAAGGGGTTCTGAATTTTACATGTTTTGTTAAACTTTATATAGACTAAAATTTTGGTTTTCTAGACTCAGTAATATTAAATTGCCTATTAGGTTTAGTGGCTTCTTGCATCAGCTCCTGCAACTGTCCAATTTGTTCATCACGAAAGTCATTAAGTTTTTCTTCTGAGAGAGAGGTGCCAAAACATGCCTTTTCATTTGAATTTTGTCTGTTTTTGACAGTTTGTTGCCATAACACTGCTGCATACATCTAGTAAAAAGAGAAAGAAAAATAAAGGTTATAGATATAAAATTAAAGCAATATCTGTGCTCACTTATTTAATGTTAAGGGACTTAAATTCTAATTCAAGTCCATCACTAAATCTCATTTTGTTAAGAAAATACAATCAATATACTTGTGTCTTTACAGTTCAGCAATGATTTCAAATATATCTTATTTTTAGCACTTTAAGAGTTTTAACCTGAAAATCAGTGGGATGGGAGGCCCATGCGTAGACTTCAGAAGCATGCATAAACCACCCAAACCCATATGAAAAATTGTGTGTACATAAATATGCACATACTTCTAGGGCCATGGGTCTTACAGGCTTAAAAGTGAGTCTCAAAATTCATTAAGTTTATTCCCATGACTTTAACTTAAACCGTAATTTAAAACACACTAGAGAGAAAGATAGTTTTTAAACCTTTAAGCCTTCAATATTCAACAACCATCTTTGTCAGAAAAAACTACATTTTTCGTGTTGCAATTTTACTGTTATTTAGGCGACATGTTCGGCCTCATATTACAACTATCCTTGTCTGCCCAAGTGCCACTTTTCTGAAGCAGACTCACTCAATTTAATCAGGCAGGAAGTATCGTATTTTAGTTCATGAACTTAAAGATTATATGCACACTATAGATACTGAACTGCTTAACTCTGGATAATGATGCTCCTCAATCTGATTTGAAATATCTAGGTTGCTTATAATTGCTAGATTGCCAGCATCATCAAAGCAGTTTTAATTTGAATCCCAAACCTTCGCTTGTACTGGAAATATTTCCTCCATGTTTTCTAGAAATTCATTTCATATAGCAAAATAAAAACATTTTACACAACCTAAGCTTTATCAATTCCCCTTCTAAGTATATGCCTCAAAGCAGGGTTTCCCAATCTTGCAGTGTTAAGATTTTTGGATAATTTGGATAATTCTGAGTTGTGGGTTGGTGGATAGGAGTCTGCTCTTGCACTGAAGGATGTTTAGAACACAGAGAAGGTAATGTGAAAACGAAGACAGAGCTTAGAGTGATGTGGCCACAAGTCAAGGAATCCTGCGTTCACCAGAAGCTGAATGAGACAAGGGATAGATTTCCCCTAGATCCTCCAACATCTTGATTAGGCCCCAGACCTGTGAGAGAATAGATTTCTGTTGTTTTAAGCCACTGTGTTGTGGTAATTTGTGCCACATGAAACTAACACACAGTGAACTACAGAAACACAGTCTTAAAGTCTTATAGAAAAAACTAAACTTCATGCTATGCTAACAACTTAAATTTGTACTAAAAACCCAAGAAAGTGTGGCTTGCTAACTCTGTTTCACACTGAGTTTTTAAAAGGGCAGAGGACCTATAGTACCGGTTTTTCAGTGACAAATTAGAAATACTGAAAGACTAGCTCTCCTTTCAATGTGCTTTCTAGTTTTCACCTACGTATTAAACTTGTTTATAGTCTGAATCAAATTGATACCACTAAATTTCTGGTAATAAGGCAGAGAGAATCTGTTAGAATGTGATTTTAATGTGTGTGAAAGATAAAAATAAATAGTTTAAATAACTGTTTTCTTAAGTAGTTTAATTTTATTTATAAATTTAAATTATTAAAATTAGTTAAGAGAGTTATTAGCAAACTAATTTCTCTATTGTACATATTTTTAAAGAATAAAAATGAACTATATTAGATTTACCTTTTATCAGCATTTGAAATGAATAAAACTAAACCATTTTAAGAAATAACATAAAAGAGAAACAGATTATTATGTGACTCCTGATTGAAGTACATATCGCCTATATCAAAAAACAACCTGCTCCTAAATGCCTTTACATTTAACTATCAATTTATAGAAAATAAAAGAGATAGAATAAAGTGTTCAACATCACCATGGAAATGCAATCAGCAGATCCAGACTACTAAAAACTACAATCCTAATAAAGGAAAAATAGCAACTTTACAGTCAAGAAATTAGGAAGATACAGCCTTAACCAAATAATTGATCAAGGTAAGCATTGCCAGTAAAAAGTCACATCGCCATCATGTGCCCCCCAATAATTATGCACTGAGAAGGAAGGAAGGGTCTATTAGCTCTGTAGTATTCTTCCCAATAATGCACAACCTCAATCTAATCACAAGAAAACATCAGACAAACCTATATTAAGGGACACTCCACAAAATAACTGACCAGAACTCTTTAAAAGTTTTAAGGTCATGAGAGACAAGGAAAGACCAGGAAAGACTATGCAATTATCACAGAGGAAACTAAGGCGATCTGACAACCAAGTGCAATGTGCAATCTTGGATTAGGCCCTTGAAGACAAAAAGAACATTAGTGTAAATACTGGTGAAACTGAATATATTCTGTAGTCTAGTTAATAGTATTGCATCAATGTTAATTTCTTAGTTTTGGAAACTGTACTATGGTTACTTAAAATGTTAACAAGGGGCGTAGATGGTGAAGGGTATAGGGAACTCTACTATTTTTGCAACTGTTCTGTAAGTCTAAAATTAGCTCAAAATTAAAAGCTAAAAAAATAAAATTAAGATTAACAGGAATATCAATCAACATGAGCTGGTGAGTCACTGAAAGCCAAGAATCAAGAAAAAATCTGTGGATTTCGGAGAGTTCAGACTCTATGTGTACGTAACAGGAATATCAGGGCAGAAAAGCTACTGAAACCATTTATATCTTAAAGAAATACTTATATGTATATAGAAAGAGGTATAAGGATTGGTCAAACTAACTATGGTACATCTATACGAAAGAATACCATGCAACAGGTAAAAAAAAAAAAAATCAACTTGTAGAATATTATGTAAATACGATGTCATTTGTATGTTTTAAAATATATACAAATTTATATGTGTAATAGAATATTCATATACCAAAACAGAAAGCTTGAAAGGATACCCACAAAATTTGGGGGTTAGTCTTTCACATTTGGTTCTGAATACCTCACCTCTGTACTGTTTTGATTTTCTATAATATTATTTAAGTAATTAAAGGGAGGGGAAAGAAAGCAGGGAGGAGAGAGACTATAGGAAAAATTGGGAAATGAGGAAGTTAACTATAGTCTGTTTTTTCATGATCTGTCCTAATATTGTAATTAATTTAAACATAAATATTAACAAAAGAAAATTAAGGTCTTATATGTTTAATCACATATCTAGTATTTGCCCTTCTTTGTTCTTTAAAACAAAATTGCAACTAAATAGCCCAAAAGTAGAGTTAGAAACATTTTATTGTAAGAAATCACAATATATGAAAATCCAAGCTGTCAAGCTCTATAAATAAAAGGATAATCAATTCCTTCACAAAAGGAAATTCATATTCAGAAAAGCATTTATAAACCTAATGGTTTAAAATATTTTGTGAACATAGCATTTTTTGTGTACTGTACAGAGTTTAATTCAAGAAAATGTCTAACTACATAACATCTGTCCTATTAAAAATGTGACATTTTGCTTCATATTTTACATACCATTTCCTTAATAGCATAAAAAATATTTTAGATTAAATCATAAAAATGCTAACACAATTTTTCCACATACTATACGAATTAGTCTGAAGAGCCCATCTTTCTTCTGAATCACATAAATCACATTATAAATCCCCTTACAAGATAGGCACATATTGTGTTGCCATTCTCACAATTTACTGGAAAGCTAAAATGACAGTAATTTTTTATAGTTTGTACTTCTTCAATGTAAATTCCCAAAAAGAAGGACAACTATTAGATCTAGAAAGAAAAAATTACTCCCAAAAGTTATTCAACTAGTATAAGACTATTTAGCAACACTGAACCAACAAATTGAAGTTCGGAGCATTTAGTTAAGCTTTCCCTGGAGAAATTGTTAAAAATGCCATGCCTCCCTGAGGAGCAAAAACAACAAAAACACCCCCACATACAAGACACCTGAAAGTTACTTGAATTACAATAACTAAATTTAAGGATACCTTGGAGGATTTTGAAGCACATCTGTACAAGTTATTAATACAGAATATTTTATGTTATAGAAAAAAAGGAATCTATGTTGGCAATAATAAATTTGATTTCTTTGGCTCTTTTTGACCAGGTTTTATGATTTTCAAGTCACTGATGATAGATTACCCATTTTTATAGCACAGAATATCACCAAATAATAGCCCATGCTATTTCTTAGTCCCCAAACACTTATATCACATTGATTCACAAAATACAAACAAGAATGGAAAGTAACACTACTGTCACCAATAAGTGTATTTCTCAGGTGGCCATGAAGCTGGGCCTCTCTGGAATCAAGTTCCCCAGGTTCTTCTGCCCAGTGCAGCAAACCAAATGCAGGATTCACCTGTGACTCCAGGGATGAGAAAAAAATAAAAGCAAGAACACGGAAGGTTCTTGGCTAAGAAAGTAGTAAAGAAATGTTAGAGAAGACCTGGTTTACAAATACTCTTTATGTTTGTCTACTATAAATTCAGTATGTACTTGACATTGGACATATACAAATCCAACATGTCATATGTCATAAATGAGAAGTCAGTGCAAATAAATAAGCACATTCTTTTTCGTGAAATTCACTCCAAAGTTCCTAGAAACTTACTAATAGTGTTGTATTTAAAGTAAACATATTAAATAACCTATTTTATTTAAAGACAACTCTTCACCATCCAAAACAATATTTATCAAAAAAAAAAAAAAAATACATTTACCTGATCATTTCAAAAACCACTGAGGTAAATGGCCTATTTGTACATTTTTTGCTTGATATGGCAATTTTAATTTGTCTTTAGTGATATAATTTGCATCAATATGTTTTATAATGCTTCATTATGTTATAGATATTGAAATAAATTTATAATAGTATGATCCATTAGCACAGGGTACTGAAAATGGTAAATAAATTTTTAAAAAATCCACATTATCCAGCATTGTAACTAATAAAACATCTTTATTAGTCAGAACTACCAAATGCTACAAGAAACCACGCTTCCAAGATATTACAGGCACAATGTCAATGC